AACCAAAAATTTGCTGATGTCTATACTCCCCAGCAAAACATCTGCGTTGATGAGTCCCTGATTAATTTTTCTGCCCGCCTTGCATTCATACAATTTCTCCCCTGCAAGCGTGCCAGATATGGGGTCAAGATGTAGAAGACCTTTGAGAGGACAACAGGATATACTTATAAGTTTTGGATTTACGAGGGAAAAGATAGTCACGTGGAGCCCCCCGGATGCCCAGACTACATGGGGAGTAGTGGCAAAATAGTTTTGGACTTGGTGTCATCCTTTTTCCATACGGGGTACCACTTATACGTGGACAATTTTTATTCAAGCGTGCCACTATTTAGACATTTGTACAATCTTGAAACTGGCGCATGTGACAGCGCTGAGCAAACTGTTGGAGCTATATAAATAATGTATAATATAATATTAATAATGTGGCAAAGTGTGACCTAATGTGTGCCCACCATTAGAAGTGGGTGGATGCAGGGCGGTATATTCTAATGGTGGGCATACCACACACTTTTTCTGGCAGAGATTGTGGTTGTATTGGTCCGCAGACCCGATTCATCATATGCCCGTGTTCTCTGCTGCCATGGCCAGGCATAGATATGAGAGTATAAAATGTGTTTTATGCATTTCAGCGACAAAACACTGTCATCCTCGGGGTGACCCTCAATTTGACCGGCTCCACAAAATTCAGCCCCTCACAAATCACCTTAACCAAAAATTTGCTGATGTCTATACTCCCCAGCAGCAAACATCTGCGTTGATGAGTCCCTGATTAATTTTTCTGCCCGCCTTGCATTCATACAATTTCTCCCCTGCAAGCGTGCCAGATATGGGGTCAAGATGTAGAAGACCTTTGAGAGGACAACAGGATATACTTATAAGTTTTGGATTTACGAGGGAAAAAGATAGTCACGTGGAGCCCCCCGGATGCCCAGACTACATGGGGAGTAGTGGCAAAATAGTTTTGGACTTGGTGTCATCCTTTTTCCATATGGGGTACCACTTATACGTGGACAATTTTTATTCAAGCGTGCCACTATTTAGACATTTGTACAATCTTGAAACTGGCGCATGTGACAGCGCTGAGCAAACTGTTGGAGCTATATAAATAATGTATAATATAATATTAATAATGTGGCAAAGTGTGACCTAATGTGTGCCCACCATTAGAAGTGGGTGGATGCAGGGCGGTATATTCTAATGGTGGGCATACCACACACTTTTTCTGGCAGAGATTTCTTCTCTTTTTTCCATTCAGTCCACAGGCTGCATACAAAAAAAAAAAAAAAAAAAAAGAACATAGTATATATAACCAGCAAGGATCAGCGACATACTGGTACATCACTGGACTTTGAATGGTTATACCAGGATGATGCCTACAGCTGCAGGCATCATCCTGGTATCGTTTTATTCAGCCGGCGATCGGCTTTCATGTAAAAGCAGCCCTAGTGGCTAATTAGCTGCAGGATTGCTTTTACAAGCAGCGGGATATGATGCCCCCCCCTCCCCTGCTGCCTTCCACGGCCTTCTCGGGCAGTCCCGTGCCATCCGGGGAACCTGAGAATGCAGCCGGTGTTTCTGCCAGCTGACCATAGAGCTGATTGGAGACCAGAGTGGTGCCAATCATCTCTATAGTCTACTGTAAGAATTTGGAAGCTACGAGCATTTCATCACTTCAGTTTCGCAGGATATAAACAGCGTCATTTATAAATTGGGAAAGCATCTGATCACAACGATTTTGGTTTGATTAGATAATGTAAGGGCAGAGGAAATATCTAGAGCCTGATAGACCCCAGATTTCCCAAAAAAGAATATATGACAATGCCCATTGAAGTTATAGGGGATATTTGCATTCCCTGTGATAGCATTAAAAGTGATAAAAAAAAAAAAATGAAAGTTACAGTGTAAAAATAATTAAAAATCAAAATAACTTAAAACAAAAAGAAAAAAAACTCGCCCCTCCCATGCACGCACACCTGTGTGCACAATCGTTGACCCTGAGTCGGTATGTGAACAGCGATTGCACCATACATGTGAGGTATCACTGTGAACGTCAGATCAAGGGTAGTAATTCTAACACTAGACCTCCTCTGTAAATCTAAAATGGTAGCTTTTAAAGGCTTTTAAAGTGTTGCCTATGGATATTAAAAATGTATGCAGTTTGTCGCCATTGCACGGGGCATGCGCAGTTTTAAAGCACATCATGTTTGGTATCTATTTACTCGACATACCATCATCTTTTATATCTTGCCAAATAATTGGCCAATATATTGTGTTTTTTTGTGCATTAAAAGTAAAAAAAAGTGTTTGTTTTTTTTAAATTGCTTTTGAAAAATCGCTGCGTGAGTACTATGTGCCATAAAAAAATTATAGTACCCACCATTTTATTCAATAGGGTGTCTGCTTTAAAAAAATATATACTGTTTGGGGGTTTAAATTAATTTCCTAGCAAAAAATACTGATTTTTTTCATGTGAACAAAAAGTGTCAGAAAAGGCTTAGTCTTCAGGTGTTAGAAGAGTGAGTGAGTGATGTGTGGCATAAACTTCTAATGCTGGGCAAAAAACGCCCCCACCCCCCCAAAACGACCCCTTTTTGGAAAGTAGACACCCCAAACTAGTTTCTGAGAGGCATGTTGAATCATTAGACGAATTTATTTTTTTACCACAAGTTTTTGGAAAATGACAAACATATATATATTTTTTTATTTACACAAAATTGGCACTTAAATGATTTACTGCTCACACATGCCATGGGTATATGTGGAATTACTCCCCAAAATACATTCTGCTACTTCTCCCGAGTATGGAGGTACCACATATGAGAGACGTTTTGGCAGTCTAGCCAAGTACAGGACCCCAAAATCCAATAAGCACCTTCAGGCTTTTAAAGGGCTTTATTTCCTCATTACACTTGGAGGCCCTGAAATGCCAGGATAGCACCTAACCCCCCCAAATGACCCCTTTTTGGAAAGTAGACACCCCAAGGAATTTGATAAGAAGCATGGTAAGTATTTTGCAGATCTCATTTGTTGCCACAAGTTTTTGGAAAATGAAGAAAAAAAAACAAAAACATATTTGTTCTATTCTTTTTTTATATTTCAAAACCTTGTGAGAAAAAATTAGATCTGCAAAATACTCACCATGCCTCTTTTTAAATTCCTTGGGGTTTCTAATTTCCAGAAAGGGGTAATTTGGGGGGGGGGGGGGGGGGGGGTTGGTGCTATCCTGGCATGTCAGGGCCTTCGAAACTGTGATAGGTATTGAGGAAGAGAAATGAGGAAGTTATGCACCTTCAGACTTTCAAAGTGATCATTGGATTTCAGCTCCTGTATGTGGCTAGGCTCCTAAAAACGCTCACACATGTGGTATCCCCATACTCGGTAGAAGTAGCAGAATGTGTTTTGGGGTGTAACTCTACATATACCCATGGCTTGTGCAAGAAATAGATCATTTAAATGACAACTTTGTATAAAAAAAAAAAAGTGTTTGTCATTTTCCAGAAACTTATGGAAAAAAAATAAATCTTCCATGGACTCAGTATGCCTCTTAGCAAATAGCTTAGGGTGTCTACTTTCCAAAAAGGGGTCATTTGAGGGTGTTTGTACCATTCTGGTATTTTAGCACCTCAAGAAATGTGATGGACAGTCAGAAAGTAAAAGCTGTGTAAATTCCATTATCTATACCATAGTTTGTAGACGCTATAACTTTCACACAAAGCAATAAATATACACTTACTGGGATTTTTTTTAACCAAAAACATGTAGCAGAATACATTTTGTCCTAAATTTATGATGACATTTTAGTTTTTTTTGGGATATTTTTTATGACCGAAATGAGAAAATATTGTTTTTTTAAAAAAAATGTTTTTCTTCAAAACTTTTTTTGTTTATAGCGCCAAAAATAAAAACGTGCACAGGTGATCAAATACCACTAAAAGAGAGCTCTATTTGTGTAAAAAAAGGACATACATTTCATTTATGTACCATATTGCATGACCACGCAATTGTCTGTTAAACTAGTGCAGCGCTGTATAGCAAAAAAATTGCGTAAATTGCAGTATCTATATCATAGTTTGTAGACGCTATAACTTTCACACAAAGCAATCAATATACACTTATTGGGATTTTTTTTACCAAAAACATGTAGCAGAATACATTTTGGCCTAAATTTCTAACTAACTTTGAGTTTACTATATATTTTTTATAGCTGAAAGTAAAAAAAATGGTTTTTCTTCAAACTTTTTTGTTTATAGCGTGAAAAATAAAAAGCGCACAGGTGTTCAAATACCACTGAAAGAAAGCTCTATTTGTGTGAAGAAAAGGACGTAAATTTCGTTTGGGTGCAGCATTGCATGACCGCGCAATTATCAGTTGAATTAGTGCAGCGCCGAGTAGCAAAAAGAGGCCTGGTAATTAAAGGGGGTAAATCCTCTCGAGGGGCAAGTGGTTAAAAACTTGGAAGACTAATCCGTAGATTGGGTGTTCAAATCTTCCATATAGACACCTATTATTATGTATGAGCAGTTAATGTGCTCACTTATTTTTTGTTCTGTGACTAAATCTGTATTTTCTGTTTTCTGTATTGTATCAGATCATATGAAGATATCTACAAATTCTTGAAAGCTTATGCTTGAAATCTATTCAGCTACCCAGCAGCATAACTGCAAATGCTGGACAGTCTGTTGTATTTCCAGTCTCCTGCTGAGCTGCTCAGAAACCACTGCCTTTATTAACATGGGTGCCAGACATAGGATGTATTATTTTCATGTTTTACTGTGATAAAATCAACTTCCTCAACTGTGTCTGATGTCCATACTTAATATGCCAACTACCTGTAGCGTGGCTATTTATGGCTGTCTGTTCCACAAAGAATGTTGCCCCATTGCTAACCAAAGCATCATTTATTTAATCGCTAAAGTTACTGGTACATATACTACTTACAAGTTGCAACAAACTTCATAATGAAGTGTGTAAGGTATGTATTAAAGTGTTTCTAAACCCAGGACCCTACATTCACTATATCTGGTCTCCCACAGTACACATAATATGGAAATGCAATTATTTTAGTAAATATAAACGGCTAAATACCTTTTCTTGTCAGCAATATATAGCAGTCTTGTGACTTCTAGCAGTGTCCAGCAGAGCACATGTTAAAGCTTGTAGGAGTTTTCATTTTGCTGTAGGAGGATGCAGAATTCCTGACCTCTGTCTGGACAGTGCTGATTGGCCCTGTGCTGATCCCATGCACTCTCTCAAGAAAAAAAAAAACCTCTCTAGCAATACACATCAAACTGAGCATGTGCAGATTGACTCCACACGATATGCCTTATCAGGAGATAAGAGGGGGACACTGGAAGAAGGGGAGGATCAGAGAAGTCAGGTCCAAAAACAGCGTTTTTACACAATGCAGAGGATTAACCCCTTAGGTTTCACAGTGAGTATAACAAGAATGCTTTACTGCATACACATACTGATTTTACTGTTGTGAGTTTAGTAACGCTTTAAAGTCTATGTAAACCCCAATTTTTTCTTGGACATTTCTGGTACTAAACTCACTTTCTAAAAGGAGCATTAAACACTGAGCTTTTTTTAGTTTGTGGTAAACAGTGTGGTACTGAGCACAATGAAATAGACATTCCCCAGTAAACTATTTTGTTCAAATTCTTTCTCCAGCACTTGCAGTATATAACTTTCAATGCTGCTGGCTCCTGCTCTTAGTGCTGCTTTCCTGAACATCTGGTCTTCACAGTAAAGTGTTAACAGTGGACAGTCTGAGTTAGTCTGTTAGCTTGGAGGAGGAGAGAGGAGTCAGGGGATTGTCTTGCCATCCTGTGCTATGGGGCTGTGTGTTATTGATGCCCACAGTGTAGGGAACCACAGCTCTAGTCCCTGCATGCAAAGTAAGCCTATCTGATCTGCAGGTGTATTAAAAAAATAAAAAGTCAGAGGGCATAATGTCAATGCTGTGTGTAAGCCACTGACAATCTATCTCACGGTGTGACAGATGCAGGGGGAACCAGTAATTCCTAATTCCTTGATAATTTAATTTATGATGAAAACACGTTGGGTGGAGCCGGAGGCCGTCGCGTCACGTACTTGCATTTGGTGGAACATTGGTGAATGGAGCCTGGTGGAGCTTTATTTTGAATGCCTTGTATACAAGATCTTCATGTGAGTTTTTATACCTTCCTTTTTAATTAACATTTTATCAGATTTACACTATTCAAGCCTTCTCTTTTCTCCCATATGTGAGTGTTATGTCAATATTACCTGTTTCTGGGAGAAGAGTTGGCGTTAAAGTCTCTCATCTGCTGATGATCGGTTGGCGGCTGTTGCTTCAGTCTATGAAAGCTTTTGTTGACTTCTCTTATGAGGGTCACGGGGCTTCTGGTAAGCCTTTTGATTTATTGGTGATTCGCACATGGTGATTCTGTTTATACAAGATTGGGGAAGAGGATCATCGACTTGCTCATTATGTCATGCACTGGGTGGCAGTCATCCACAATCTGTGGAGTTTTAGTTATTTGGGTTTTGTGTTTTTTGTACTATTTATGTATTCACTTTTTATTTTAAAATATTTTTATTAGGGTTTTCAAAGAAAGGGAGAACAAGGAAATAAAAAATTGTTCATTCATATCATAATACAATACAATAAACATTGTACATTTGAGCAGTGTAGTTGTTATTTCACTTTTGAGGCACTGAGGAATTTGGTCTTAATTAGCTATATCATCAGAGGTATTTATATATGAATGAAAAACTTTGGTGTGGGGTTGGGATGTTAGGGGGGTTATTGGTAGGGGGGGTGGAGGAAAGGGGGGGGAAGAGGTGCAACTAGGTGGGGAAGGATGTGTACCAGTCAGGGATTAGGTGATGTTTTTTATATGTTGAGTGTTATCAGGGTTGTTGTACAGAGCATTTTGGGTGATTTAACCATCGGGTCCATTTGTGTTGAATTTAAGGAGGGAGGAAGTGTTGATTGCCCATTTTCTCTCCATTTCGCATTGGAAGTTGAGGTCTGTAATCAGTGAGGTGATTGAGGGGGTGTTTTTTGAGTTCCATAGTCTAGTGATGTTTATTTTGGCCGCAAATAGAATGTGGGTGATAATTGTGCGGGAGTGAGAGGGAAATTTTTCAATCTCGATATGTAGAAGTGCTAATGAGGGATTCGGGGTAGTACACTTTTGGTTATATGTCAGATATTAGTTGGAAGGTAATATTCCAGAAGGACCTAATTGATTTACAAGACCACAGGATATGTATCGTTGAGCCCGTTTCCCCGCATTTGTCTCCAGCATGCAGGGGAGTGGTTTGGGTAATAGAGAGAGAGTTTGACCGGAGTCAAATACCATTGGTGGAGGATTTTTAGGTATGACTCCCAGTGGGAGCTGCATCGGGTAGCTTTATATGTATTTGTGAAAGCATTTTCCCAGCATTGTGAAGTTATTGGTTCTGATAGGATTTTTTCCCAGTTGGTAAGAGAGGTAGTTTGTAGCGTGAATTGTAGGTTATTGAGGGTACGTATAAAAGGTAGAGATGCCTTTACCTGGGTATTTAGACTTGGTGAGAAAAAGGTATGCTGTAGATGGTAATTTGGTAGTGTGAGGTATTATTGTTGTTTGTAGGCAGTGAGTAATTCTTAGGTATGTGAAATTTTCAGATATAGGTAGATTATATTTTGTTTGAAGAGCATGAAAGGGGCGTATAGATTGGTTGGTGTAGATGTCTGAAATATTAATTATGCCATGTTTTGTCCAATACGATAGGTCTAACGAGGGTATAAACAGATGTAGTAAGTTAGTTGGAGTGGGGATTTGTTTGATGTCTTTGAAATTGGTGGACAGTAGATCACGCCAGGCTTGTAGAGAGGCTTGTATACAGGGGTGTTTTATTTTGTGTTCTATGTGGTTGGTTGGTGGAATTAGGATTAGGTTTTGGGGTTTCAAGGGGTAAAGAGAGAGGGTTTCCATTATGGACCAAGTTTTTTTCCTTTGATGGATTCCACCAAAAGTACATTTGATCCAGGAGTGTCGCGGTTTGTAATAAGATTTGAGGTGTGGGAGACCTGCCCCTCCTTTCGTTGTAGGGCGTTATAATAGGTTTGTGGTGCATCTGGGTTTTTTGGGAATTCCAAAGGAATTTTGTGAAGATTGTTTGTAGGCTAGAAAAAAATGATTTAGGAATTGTGATTGGGAGTGTACGGAATATGTATAGGATTTTGGGTAGAATGAGCATTTTTAAGGTTGCCACTCGACCCAATTTGGAGAGTTCTGAAGTACGGAGTGTGGTTAGTTCTCGAGGAATATTTTCAAGTAGAGTTTTGAGGTTTGCGGAGTATAGTTGACCCGTTGTTGGTGTGAGTTTGATACCTAAATAAGGGATGTGGTTTGTTTTCCCATGAGAAAGGGAATTTGGTCACTAGTAGGGTTTAAATATGCGGTGGAGTGTGGAGGTTTAGTATGGAGGATTTGGCTTCGTTGATTTTATAGAATGTTACTATTGAGTAGTCATAGAGGTGTGTGAGCGAATTGTTTTAAGAGAGATGTTTTTGGGTTGGTTACCAATCAGTATGATATCATCTGCAAATAGGCTAATTTTGTGTTCTATGTTGAGATGTGTGATACCTGAGAAGGATCGGTCTTCTCTGAGTTTAGATGCTAGGGGTTCAATAAGGAGAGTAAATATTATTGGGGAAAGTGGACAACCTTGTCTGGTGCCGTTAGAGATATCGAAGGGGTCAGACAATGTGCCATCTGTCAAAACTCTGGCGGATGGTTGTGAGTATAGTGATAAGATAGCGTTAAGCATCCAGCCTGTGATCCCAAATTTTTGGAGAGCTGAGAGTGAGTTGCATAAATTGCCAATGTATCCGGTCGAATTCTTTTTCTGCATCTAGAGAAAAGAGTAAGGAGGGGTATTTGGTGTTTTCTAAGTTGTGTAAGAGGGAAATAAGTCTTCTGGTCGCATCGGGTGCTTGGCGACCTGGGATGAAGCCTACTTGGTCTGGGTGGATAAGAGTGGGGAGGTATGGGAGAAGTCTCCGAGATATAATTTTTGCATACAATTTTATGTCAGTATTGAGTAGTGAAATTGGTCTGTAATTTTGGACAAGTTGCGGGTCTTTGTCAGGTTTTGGAATGGTCGTTATAATGGATTGCAGCATGTCCTTGGGAAATGAACTTGTGGGGGTGGCGGCGTGGGTTAAAAAGTTTGGAAAGATATGGGGATAGGTCTGTGGAAAGATGCTTGTAGTATTCGTTAGGGTATCCGTCATTTCCTGGAGATTTGTTGAGTGGGAGTGTTTTGATGTTTGATTCTATTTCTTTGGGGAAATAGGGATAGAGATGGCGTCAAGTTGGTCCGGGGATAGTTTGGGGAGGTTGGTCTTGTGGAGAAATTGTTGGATGGATGTGACTGTCGGTTGAATGGTGTTTTGCGTCATTTTTGAGGTTGTATAGGTTTTGATAATATTCTGCAAAGGTATTAGCTATTTCTTGTGGGTTAGTGTGAAGGAAATTTGTAGACGGATTTTTGATTGAAGCTATTTTGGATTTTAAACGTTTTTGTTTTTTATTGTTTTGAATAATAGTGAACTGGCTTTATTACCTAATGAGTAGAATTTGGCTTTCATTTTTTGGAGATTTAGATCGTATTTGTATAGTAGGAGGGATCTTAGTTTGTTTCTATCTGCAGTGAGGGATGTGGAAGTTGTTTGGTCTGAGGAATTTTTGTTTTTTTCTTCTTTTGATTAATCGATATGAGGAGTTTGTCTATTTGTTGGGTTCTAATTTTGGTAATACGGGAATTTAATTGAATCAAAATACCTCTCATGTATGCTTTATAGGTTGACCAAAGGATGGATATGGAAATATCAGGTGTATCGTTAAGTTCAAAAAATGACTTATGAGCATCTAATATTTGTTGTTTGTAGTCACGATTTTTCAACAAAGTTGTATTCAGACGCCATATTCGGGGAATCTTGGAATGTTGTATGTCATCAAGATAGATGGTAATTGGAGCATGGTCTGACCATGTAATAGTTTCCGATCTTGGAGGAAGTGACGTGTTGTAGGGTCCACTTGTCAGTGATGAAGAAGTCGATTCTGGAGTATGAAAGGTGGGACGGAGAGTAATAGGTATAGTCCTTTTCTGTACTGTGTTGACATCTCCAGATATCAAAAAG